ATACGCCACTACAGTAATATATTCCTTGTCTCTCTCTTTATCGTGCGCACTCGGTTAATGATGAGCAAAGTTTTTATGACTGTTCTCCGAAAATCTCTGTTTTCCAAAACTTATGGAATGTACTGCCAACGTGTGTTTAGATCCTTTTGCTCGATGTATGTAGTCGGAGCCGTCCTTGCTTCATTTTCCCATGGCTTGGCTTCCCAAAAGACAACACTTGAAATAACTTGATTTTTACTTTTGTAGCTATGTTCAGCTAACCTTCGTGCCCTCAAAGTTCTTGATACAGGGGGAATACCTCCATACAGGTTTTTATTTGTAATATGTTGTTTATAGTTGATATTCAAGGCGTGTCTAAGTAATCTTGTATAACAACCATCAAGTCCCCTCTCACAAGAATCTGTTCGTTTATCTTTTTATAGAAATTCAGTAATAAGCAATATTAGTTTTGAAACCCTAGGTCACCTGAGCGTTAGAGGCTTCCCCCATGCATTGGCGGATTTAAGGGGAACCAAGTCGGCCGGGGCCCCTGTAAATATTTAAAAATTATTTTTAAATAATGGAGAAAAACATTATATTCCAATCCTGAGAGTGCCATTTTCGGCCATCTAGAGGGGACGTAATCTTAATTTTTCTTGCCTCAGCCCCAACCATAGTGGGGCTGACGTGTATATCTATCAAGGACCCTCTCTCGGCACCCTCTATTTTGAATTACGGATCCACCACTGCAAGGACCACCCCATATATGCGAAGGTCAGGGAAAATCCTGGATCCGCACCTGAGCTATATAGTTATACGACTAATATTTCTTTAATAAAGATTTAGCGGAAACGTTGTTGCTTCTTTGCGTATTATTTTTCATGCATTCAATGAAATTTAATACTCTTCGAGTCAACGCCAAATGTACAAATATAATCAGATTTTAGAAATGATGAAGGTAAATACATTGTATGTAGAACACTTAACACGATAAGATGTGTTGGATTATAATTGATGAAAACAAACTAACATTAGGTGGGTGGGATGCACTATTGTAGAATCCTACCAATAAAATAAGGCCTATCCTTTGCCTTTAATACGGCATAGGCCAGAAGTCGTTGATCCCGTGTAGGCCTATGTCAAAAATATGATAGGCCTACCGTTACAAGTTAATATAATTTGTAGAACAGTAAAGCAAAATCTACGTACTATCGGTGGACAGTTTATGTTCAGAATTCACAAACTGATGAACAAATAAAGGTTGTGGTTTCAGCATAGAAGAGACAAAAAGAAAAAAAAAGAGAAAAAAAAAATTAAAAATATGTAAAACAGTGCCCTAACTGGCTAGGAACAGTACCACATCAAACTAGAAACATTAATGGAATAGGTTAGATATGGCTATTATTAATGCCCTATGTATGTAAAAAATGTGATATATACCTACCGTTACAATTGGGAATATAATTTGTAGAAAAAAATACCAATTTGATTAATTTATCAGAATATTTCTGATATTATACCTCTACACAAAGTTTCGCCTAGATCTGTATTTTAAAAAAAATGTCACACTACGCTAACGTGTCCTTTTACTGTAAAATTGCCGACCTGTAAGAATTCTGATTATATTTACATTTTGAATATTAATTGTAGTATAAACACAACTAAAAAGAGAAAACTACTCTAATCAAATTGATCCAATTCTTATTGTGTATGCTCTAGGCCCTGATTTGCCTCACATGCGATTACGTTTGATAGGAACAATATCTGCTGAACATGGAACGCAGTCTAGTAAAACTTAAATCGGTGAAGTGAAAACATTGGATTTTACAGACGAACTCACAACCCAGTTTCTGGGCAGCCAATGCATCGGGAAAAGACTAAGCACGGACGTCGTTTACCTGCTCGTCTTTCATTCCCTTCCTCTGAAATGTGCACATCTGAAAAGCAAATAATAGACTCTATTTTTAATGATGTATAACTCAGCGATGTTGAAAGAATGGAAGGAGTTCAGTTTCTACTGCCTTTTGCAGCACCTTGTTGCCCTTCTGGAGATGCTTAGAAGGTCACTTTATATCTATACCAAACCTCTATTACTTTAATCGTCATTTATGTATAT